ACATATAAAATTTTATCAGTGCAATCTAAACACGACCTAGAGAAACCGATCGTTTCGCTAACTAAATCTTGTCTTAAGCGTGCCAAAAATGTATGCTGGATTTGAGCATATCAGGAGTGCTTTACCAGGCATTTTTTTTTAAACTAATCAATTACAGTCGTACAGTTTCAAGTTTGTAGAGTGCTAGAGGAGGTGTGCGATCAACGGGGTACATCTGCGTGGGCCAGAGAGACTCCCCCAACCTTATTCAGCCCTTCCTTTTTTTGATGGCGTAAAACATCTTATCGTGTGCTGCTTGATTCAGATAATGGTAGCTAAACAGGAGATTACAAATCTTATATTTTCAAATTATTTAAATTTCACTGCTCAGTAGTATGTCACTAGTGCAAATACTGGTGGCCGAACAAATAGCCTTAATTATAAATTAAACTATAACTTAACGTTGTGGGCTGGTTGGTGCAAATACCAATGGCCAAGAAACTAGATGAAAAATTCGTGACTAATTGCGTGTTATTGGTGCAAACGCAGATGGCCAAGCAACTAGCTTGAGAACTTATGGCTGTGTGCTGATAAGAAAAATTCTGATGGAGAAGTGACTAGCTTAATTTAAAAAACAATTTACAACTCCAAAATTTATGGCTGGTTTTTGTGCTGTTGGTAATAATGCCGATAGCCAAGAAGCCAGCAAACCTTCTCTACAATCATTGTCCTTCTCTAACCCTTCCTTTTAATTTCCAGGCACCTAAGTGGAAGCTAAGGCTTCAATACAAATTTACTGTTACGCCACCTTCGATATAACAAATAAAATATGTGGTTAGATGGAATGAGTAATATCCTTTTATTATAGTTAATTGACATTTATCATAAATTTCAAATTAGTTATTTTCTAAATCTAGAACCCCTGATTTTTAATATAATTTTTTTTCCAGAAACTTTTGATGCCATTTTCATTACAAAAATAATTGTTAAAGATGGAAAAAATTGAATTTCATCCCGTGGACCCCAAATGCTTTTTGTTGGTTAAGACCTTCGTGACGTCACGAATACATAAGCAGCTTTTTGTTAAGCTAGAGAGGATATAAATAGTATGATTTTCTATTATTTTCAATCTATTTTGGGAATTTTTTTAAATTGAAAAGTGATCATGAGTCTTAAATGTATCAGGTGTAGATCACTTTTTTCAATAAGTCAGCACTAAGTGCAAAAATAAAGATCGTACAGTTGCTAAACCTCATTCTGTGTGTATATAANTTCTATAAAAGTATATTGTGGCGCTGAATGACCAAATTGTAATGTTAACATAAGCTCATTCAAAATTTTTTCAGTTTTGAGTATACACAGTCATGATTTAAAAATTTTTAAGGAAATTTGGTAGTCTTATGATCACATAATATATCACATAACTGTTATATATATATCACCCACAAAACAACTTTTACCAGAACTTTGTATTCTATAGACGAATTTGAGATTTCAGGGTACACAAATAACCGTCTTTCTTGACACGTCACTGCATAACTTTCTCTCGCAGATATATAATTAAAGAAATAACTTATGTTCTGTATAAGTAAACTCAATAAATTTTAATACGTTTACTTACGCAGTACTTCTTAGTTCTTGAGCTTACGGTGCATTTATATGATTATTATTTGTAACTAACTCAAAAGTCATTCCCTCATCAACTACTGGAAGATTTCTTGAGTCGCCTTTAGTGAAATCGTGAGCACAATTAGATTCTTACTTATTAGCTATCGTGCAATTTATACTGATATGGAAATAAGGTTAAGCTACTATACGATCTTTATTTTCGCACTTTGTACCGACTTATCAAAAAAAGTGATCTTAGTACACCTCATACATATTTTAGACTCATGAATTACTTTTCAATTGAAAAAAGTCTTAGTAATACAATGAAAAGAAAAAAAAACCATACTTTTTGTGTTCTCTCTAAATAAGGGTAGTTGTTTCCTAATATGTAGGTTGATCGTCTATATAGATATACAATACTACGATTATGTTCAAATATCATCCCGTATTCATAATATCAGAAAGATATGTGAATGCCTTTGCGTACACTTATACGCACATAAACATATACATACATGGACTTGTACTCATATGACAATGTGACGTTGCCACATATGCGATAATTGGTTATCTTTTAATCAAACAAAAAGCACTTTTTTTATTACTATTGCTTTAAAACTGTGTTGTTCACCGTGGTTTCAGACGTTTGCTGGAGGCCTAAATAATTATTGGAATTAGCATGCAAAATAGCGTATTTGTCTAACTGACTCTCCCTGTGAAATGCAGGGCAATGAATAAAACGTTGTTATATCATATTTTTCATTTGTCTGTAACACTGTCACGAGTTGACACTTACTTACATTTGTCTTGGCATTAATTATCCAAAGAAAACAAAATAATATTGCAGCGTATCATGTAGCACGTATGGAATCACCGCCTTATTGAGCTACTCATCAAGCCTGTAACATTTTATATATATGTGTGGCAACGCGAATTAAGGGTATATATACGCGAGGGTATAGCACGTGGTGCTTCGTGCTTCGCACCTTACCTTGACTAGCATGCGATTACGTACATCATCCGTCGAAGATGATGTCCAAGGCTGAACTTCGATGCCACTCGGTCGTGTCGTCAACTTTGTCTCGACTATGCTTCTCGGAAGCATGTTACGGTTTTGCAGCTCGTGGTGACAAGGGACCTCGTCTGCTAGCTACGTTGAACAAACCACTCGGTGGTGTTTCTACGATTCAAATCTGTGCGATCGTGTACCGCTATCACTCGACGCTGAGAGACTGTGCTGAAGACAGCTTCTCTCAGGCTACATAAAACAATACACAAAAAAACCGGGTACAAACTTACGTCAACTCGTGCCTTACAATATAGTTGTACAAAACGCAGCACAACCTCTCGCCGTAAAGGAATCCTTACCACCATTCAACCGTTGACTCTGACTGCGACTTCAACGTCGATATGATCACGTAGATCGGTGTACGGCACTCCCAAAAATAAACAGCAATACCGCCAGGTCGTGTCTCTGGTCTTGTTGCGTGATGCCCTTTTCTTGTCCCACCAAAAACAAAACGACGTATCGCTGACCAATTGACCACGCCTTCTACATACATACTAACTACCTTCCCGTTTGAACCTGACTCTACCACCTTGCTCACCCTTCCCCTTCGCTTTCTTCTCCTTCCCTTCACACTAGCGCACGTCAATATGCCTCCTGACTCACATACACACACACACCCCGATTGCGCTTGTTTACGACGCAGTAGTGCGGTAAAAAATTCTCCAAAACATATATGTGTTTCCTTACTGTCTAAAGCAGTTTTAAGTAGTTTTTTTAATTATTTATAGTTATGGGGTAAATTACACTTTTTTAAACAATGGGGCTATGCAGTGTTTGTATCATTCCTCCAATGTTATAAGAGTGATTTTTTGACGAGAACTATTCAATAATAATGTGGTAAATCGGTCTCAAATTTTTTACACATTTCTCGACGCTTATATTAGCTTTGCTGAAAATTTCGTACATTTTTATATACTTTTGATTTAGAAAACAACTACCTTCAGGGAAAACTATTAATGTATTCGTGACGACACGATGGTCTTGACCAATAGAAAGCGTTTTGGGGTTCATGAAACAAGATTAAATTGATTGCATCTTCAATAATAATTTTTTTTATGAAAATGGCATCAAAAAATTGTAATAATAATCAAGGGTCTAGATTTAGAAAATAATTAATTTGAAATTCATGAGAAAATTGACTGCAGTGTATGAGTAAAATATTTTTATTGCTTGACAAGATGGTAGTTTTTTGTATCTAGTGGCACATGTCACTAGGGCGGGCACCAGGCTCGATGGACCTATGAAGCAGGCCTTAAGGGACTCTTTGTGCTTGGTCTGGTTAGATGTGCACCAGGTGTGAACCCTATATTTCCTACTGAGGGCTTACTCGACCCTTAGATAGTTATTTACGTAACAAGTGCGGAAAAGATGATCTCCCGCACGAGTCGTGATTGACTCGCACGAGTGGCCGAAGTTGGCGGGAACGAGTGCCAGTTGAGCACACGAGTGCATAGCACGAGTTGTCGCACAGTATGGGGAAAAGGTGTGCGACAAAAACCTTTGCCACTCACCTTTTCCGCACACTATGTGGGAAAACCGATTTTCCACACTAATATCAGTGCGGAAAATGCCTATTTTCCGCACACTATTGCGAAATAGTAGTTTTCCTACGAGTTTGAAAAGTCTTTGTTTGCGAACCGAAAGGTTTGCGGCCCGAGCCGAAGGCGAGGTCCGTAATGAGGTTTGTAAAGGAGACTTTCCGAACGAAAATACATTTTTCCGCACTCGGGTGGTTTTGGGAGGCTGGTAGTTCCTCGGGCGAAAAAGCAGTTTTCCGGAACTTGTTCGAAAAGTCTCCTTTACGAACCTCGTTACGTCCCTCGCCTTCGGCTCGGGCCGCAAACCTCTCGGTTCGAAAATGGAGACTTTTCAAACTCGTAGGAAAACTACTATTTCTATCTCGGTTATTTCTGAGGGTTAGATGTGCCCTCGGCTGCCAAAATCGGGTTCACACCTGGTGTATATCTAGCAAGGATAAGCACAAGGAGTCGCTTGGGCCGTACTTTGCAGGTATCTCATGCATGGCACTAGCCCTGGAGTCATGCACCACTAGGTATGAAAACTATCATTATAGTGTGTTCTATTTTATTAATTATTTAAAAAACATGGACTTAATAATGTTGGTTAGGGTAAATCAACAAATACACTTATGACTGCAACACTTTTATGGCTAATTTGGAAATTAGTATTTTGTCTGATGGCGTTACACTGTAATTATGATTACTATTTTTTAAAAGTGTTTATTCGTTCCTGTTACACAACAAATTCTTTATTTGTATAAAACCATAACATATTTTTTAATGAAATTATTGCTAAGTATCAACATTAAACCAAGCATTAACGCTTTGATGATTTTTGAACACTTTTATTATGAATTAAAGAGTTATATCATCATACATGACTATGAAGTACTATTCATCTATTCTATAAAAGTATATTGTGGCGCTGAATGACCAAATTGTAATGTTAACATAAGCTCATTCAAAATTTTTTCAGTTTTGAGTATACACAGTCATGATTTAAAAATTTTTAAGGAAATTTGGTAGTCTTATGATCACATAATATATCACATAACTGTAGGAAATCTTTTTATACTTTTTACTGGAATTCTAATCCAAAAATATAAAACTTTGAATTATGTCATGTTTTTAAAAATATCAAAATCTTTACTCTCATGAAACTAATATTTAGAGAACTTTTGTAGTAAGACTAATTATAAAAAATAAAAATAACCGTTTATAATATTATAATAATTCAAAAAGTTCTCTAACTCAGAATTGGTTTAATTACATCGATATAATTTAAATACATTATGACCATATCTATCTTAAAAGTGGTAGTACAGATGTATGAAGATAAGAATTAACTGATTTAATTTTTGTTTTTCTTAAATATTACGTAGTCTTATTTCTTTATACACAACTTAACAAATGCTACATTGTAACAGAGCTCGCCAGCGGGCGTTTGTTTTGATAACAATATTGTATTATGTCGTTTATTGCGAAATTACTATAAAACAATTAGAATAAATTACAACTATAGTAAGAAATAATTTGTCTTGTATTATACTATCACCGATGACCATTATTATTTATGTACCTACCTAATAAGCATGAGTTATTATGTATCCTTATTTGGCAAAAGGTTTGTTTAATTAAATCTTTTACAATGCTCTGCAGCTTAAAAACTTTTAAAATTACGACTATAAAATATTTTGTTTTAAAGTTGCTTCACACAAGAACCGAAGTAATCAGTGATTTGCACGTGAACAAAAAGTTTAATACTTTGAAACTAAATCGATAGAATTCCGAAATAAAGAGAAAAATTATACTTTAAGCTAAGGTTTCAGTTGCAGCCGTAGTTGAAAAAATCTCCCTTATTTCGTTTAGATGCATTTTAAACTACAAGAATATCGCTTTTGTATACTTACTAACTTTTTGAACAGAATAAAGTAACTCTCTAGCGTGTAAACAAGTAATTACGAACGCATGTACTCATAATCGTGTTCTCTTATATGTACAAAAGTTTCCTTGATAGATTGAGGAGATGCCCATCTCAAAGCATAGTGAGGTCCACCAGCTTTATCATTTGTTCCGGACAATCGGCTTCCACCAAATGGTTGCTGACCAACAACTGAGCCAGTTGATTTATCATTTATGTAGAAATTGCCAGCTGCATATCGAAATTCTTCAAGTGCACGTGAGGCCCATTTACTGTAGGGACAACAATTGTAAGTATTTGTTCAATATCAATAACATTAGACTTAAGTGAGAAAACAAAGTAAACTAACATCATAATGCAGTTTTAACGCCAAAAAAAAAGTTATGTAAAATTTAAATGAGTCATTCTTTAAGCTTATGTATTGCAACCTTTATAAGAAACTCACTCGTCTTGTGAAAATATTGCTCCAGTTAAGGCGTAAGGGGTCGACGAATCAACTAATTTCATTGTTTCGTCCAAGTTTGAATCTTTATAAACATATAGAGTGAGTACTGGACCAAAAATTTCTTCAGTCATCATTTTATCCTTTGGATTTTTTGTCTGCACTATTGTAGGCTCAACAAAGTACCCACGCCTGTAAGAAGTAAAATAAAGTACTTAATAAGAAATCATATGATTTGCAAAGGCATTACATTCTTGCAAATGAAAACTTAACATTTCTTTCAAAAGAATAGATAACTATAAACTAAGCTCTTTATAACTATAAAATACTCTTTTACCATCCACCTAATGTTTATTCCAAAAAAATTAACTGCAAATATTTATAGAAAATATTAATTAATAAACTGCAGTTTTAGTGAATTTGATAAACCCATTTGGATGTGATACTTAAAAAAGTAATAATAATGCTACATCTTTTGTTTACCGATAACTAACCTACTATTATTTACGTCCTGTGTCGATGAGTTAGTTATAAATCATTTGTCAAAATCATAAAAGGTTATTATACAAGCATTCAGAAATAATTTTTAAATACTGATATAGTTAAAGCTATGGCAACAAATAATGTTGTTAAAACACAACACTTTGATTAAATAGTATACGAATCAAATGATAGGAAGGAAAGCACTATATCTGAAATTATTGCTCTACACGAGTGAAAATAAATCAAACTGAGCCAATATGTGCCCAACTGTACCTAACTGAGCCAAATCTATCCTTATCGTGTCAAACCGAGTAGGACTGCACTACACTAGAGAGTCATTTCGAACATATAGCTCCAACAAGTATCGTTAAAAACCAATTACAATCAGTTAGAATTAGTTTGGCTCGATTGGCGCAGTTTTGGTTATTTTGGCAGATTTGTGCTCAGTTTATCTCTGTATGCCTAGGTTTGATTATTTAGTACATAATACATATTTTTAGAGTGTTTTTATTATCTTGTTGTATTTCAGTGTTCGAGAAATATAAGCAGTAATACGTTATAAAAGTCAGAACAATTTAAAATTGTAAAAAATAGTTTTTGGTGATTATCAACACACTTAACAGAATCCATTGACATGGCATTGACAGTATAATTATATACATCACTTATATATATATTGATGAAAAAAATTATAATTCTGCTTACATTGGATATTCTACATTTGTAAATACTTTTAATAAGTCCATATTTTCCATCCGTAGTTACTATTATGAAATCATTACGTTTTTTATTTCTTAAATACGATTAAGTCGTGTAACGTAAATTATTATACATTATTTTAGTGTACTTGTAACAACTTTAAATGTTATTAATATCAATAATATCTTTAGCAATCTCGTATTCTCAATTAGTAAAAAACTTTTTTTTTTTTTACCAATTAATATACAGTTTTCGACTACACTGAAAAATTAAAAAAATTTTTATCTTTGCTTAAGAAATTTTCAACAGGACCACACACAAGGCCAGAGTTTTCTACTAGGTATGGCAATAATTGTTGATAAACTTGCAACCTGTTTATAACTTGTATGATTTTATATGATAACAGTGCTTTATCAACTATTAGTATTAGAGATATGATTATTTAATATTAATCATCAAAAGTCTTTTATTTATTTATATTAAATAAAAATTAATAAAAGTAATAAATAGTCATAACGCACTAATTTTACTTTTTTTCTAAAAGTTAATAAACGGTTATAATCACTTCAAAATCTTAACTGAATTAACTAGACAATCCACAGAGATTGCATCGTCTACCGACATTTTATAGAACATCAATGTGGACAGCATTAGATTGAGTGAAAAATCAGTGTGAATTGCCCTTGAAATCCGTTTAAATTATGTAGAAGACTTCTAGAAATCCGGGTTCTATATTTTGCAACTGAGGTAAACTGCACAATGAAATTGATTGAGCTAATCTAAACAAAATTAATCCTGACTGAGCCTAATGAAGCTAATCTGAGCGTTACTAATACAGACTGAGCCTATATAAGTCAAACTGATCTTTGTTGTACCAAACTGAGTTGTACTATAGGCTGTGTGGATAAAAATTAAAATAATAAAGTTAAGGTTTGAGTTTTACTATTTAATACTGTGATCTAAGCCACACTGAGTCAAACTGCACTGTTCTGCAATAGACTATGCCATAGTGAGCCAAACTGTGCTAGATGTTCGACTTGGCCTCAGTTTGGCTCAGTCTATCTCAGTTTGTCTTAGTGAGACGCAAACAGTTGCAATGTAGCTCAAAAACAATTTCCACTCGGCTATGTAGAAGCAATTTCGTTCATTAATATTGCTCTTGCAGAAGTATATACTCCACTCTCTCGCTTTTTTATCTACAACAACTGAACAAATCCGTATTTACTACGAATACATTATATTGTTTATCGTCCAGCATTGCAATTGAATAATAATAGACTATTCGTTTATACAGTATCTTTCTCACACGCATAAATTTTTGAAAAGTAATGCTGTCAAAACTACTCATTGACATTATTTATATGTTTTGTAAATCAGTTATCGAAATTAATAAGAAAAACAGTAAACACATGTTTGGAAACGCAATAAAAGGCTGAACTTTTCCTTACATATGAGCTGTACTTCTACCCTATAGAAAAAAATTGCAAATGACATTTATGATAAAATGAAATTGTTCGTACCAATTGATTCGTAAGAAATTTCGTTAATAATTTTTTTCATGGCTTGCATTTTTTGATACTTATAATCAGAGAATCATGATCTGTAACGTATAAAAATTTCAGTCAACTTTACCAGTACCACGGGAGAAAGGCCTTTTCAAGTAGTATCAGAAGTTTTAATTGAAAATTTTTTATAAATATCTAGCAGCCTTCCCTTCTCGGCTTTGCCCAAGACTCACTGAATGAAACACCTTAGTGTGTTGACACGTAATATAAAATATTTTTAGTTAAAAATTTTGAGTTTATACTTGACACTTCTTGAAGTAAAAAACTACAACTTGAAAAAAATTTAGTTTGCAATACATTTTCCGAAGTTATGGACTGCTCTAACACCATTAAACAAATTGTCAACTCAGATATGGATCAGAATGTATTCCATCTGGAAGTTGGCAACCAACAGCCTTCCAATGACCAGCACAATACTAGTTCGAGGAGTAACAATGATATTGATCAAGCAGAACCAAGAATAAAAATTCTTATCTCTTATTTGGAAAAAGTTATGCCTCTCATTAATTTTATGGTTAAATCATTGAGTTTTGTAAATTGAAAAACAATTATTTATTTATCTTAATTTTATTTTTAATATTGTTTTCTAATTTTTCATGTACAGAGTTATTATTTTTCATTGCTTGAAAATTATCAACCTAATTCTACGTCCAAGACCTCGTTTATACCTAGTCAATCAGAAAGTCCATCTACTCATGGTTAGTTTGCAAAAAAAACGATGTCAACTAATTTTCCTAGTCAAAGTATCGATGAAGAGTCTTTCAATCAGTTCACTGTTTCTCATCCTTCAAATCAGACACGTAAGCTTTATCGTATTCATTAAATTATTGATTCAGAGTCTTTACAAGTGCCTGTGAATGCAAATACTACTAATCATCTGAGGAGTTCCAGTTTGGCTTTTAATTCTAGTGATAACTTGAAACCAAGTGCAATTGAAGCAGGTGTAGCGAAGAAAAATATAAGTAAGGGCAAGGCTGCTGTGATAACTTCCGATGATTATACAAAAAATTTAATTGCTATTAAACTAAAGAAGATTAAAAAAGAGCCTGTGGGCAAGAATAAAGTAAAGCCTAAAATTTTGAGTAATAGTGTAATTAAAAAATCTAGTACAAATGTCTGTAAAGCTAAAACAATGAAGCGAAAGATACCTATACACAATGAGCCTCTAGCAAAACGTACACAGACTTCTAATTATGAGTCAGTTATTGATTCTGTTGCGTTGAGTTCTAGTGAGCCTTTACAAAGTTCTGATGAATTTTCAATTAGAGACAATATTCCTAAATTTTTTCCTGATTCAGGTAATGAAAGTGACTCCTTGAGTACAAATAATTTACAGATTCACAATGATTTGTTTCAGCCAGGGCAATTTCAATATTTATAATATGATCAATCAATTTTATAATTGTTAACAAG